ACTAGCGATGATATCAGGGATGGCAGTCGTGTATCGCCACAAACACAACACATTCCTCGAGACGTATCAGTGGTTGTCTTGCGATCTGTGTATCACTGGTATACTTGTGTTGGTTTACTCAGTGGTCTCGCACACGGACTTCGGTGTCTGCTTCCCAGCGATGGCAAAGACACCCGACATCTCGCAGTTCACTGAAAGTACTTATATGTCCTCTACTTAAACAAATACCACATATTTTTCTCATTATCTTCGCTTTCAATTCATTATTTGATGAAACTTTTACTCTTATATTCTGTCCATATATTAAACATATTGTAAATTAAATTGTATTCTTTATCAATAAAACTTTGAGACAATAATTATAAGTTTGTAAATAATATGATTAAAAATAAGCTCTTAATCGATGTGATAGTTAACAGACATTTCGCTGAAAAGACTGAAAATGTTTGCATTGAATGACGCAAACGATTGGATTAATTAATTTATGTATTCATTACTTACAAACGATATGTCAATGCATTGGCTAATAGTTTTCGCAATGAAATAAATGAAATACAAATGTCATAATCATTAGCGAAAATTTCGCAATTGTCTCGCTTTAAGACAATTCATGGCAACAAAAATATCTTCAATCAATTGAAACGGCGATAAATTTCTAAATGTATTTGCAATCAATGGACGGATTCACTAAATGAATGATACGATTAACGCATTAATACTGTTATCCAGAAAGTACTGTACTATACGTGTGAATAATGGTTTGTGTATTGGATTTATTATGAAACTAACAAATCATTCATTTAATGATATAAATTAATCAGTGAAACAATTTGTTAAAACCTCTACTCAGTGCTACAGTTATAACATTAATTCACATAAAATTAATCAAATTTTATTTCATATAATGTCGGAAATCGACTCAAGAAAATATCACATTTTCATCTCATTATACATTATTTTAGAATTTGTTTCACTATAAAAATTAATGTTATAAATTGCATAACAAATTTACAAGCAATTAAATTTTATCAAATATATACACAATTTAAGCTAATATTTCTATTTTACAAATAAAAATCACTTTCATTTGTTCATTAGATATGAATTAATTAATTATAAGAGTATTTTGGAATAATAATGAAATCTAATAATTATATTTGTTATACAAAATTGCATTATTGTTTGGCATTAATTGTAATTATCAATGGATTGCCGGTAGTTTGCGCACCAAACTATACATCCATATCGACATCACTGATGTCATCAATCAAATCGCTTTCTACATCTACTTCTTGTTCATCCATCGAGTGGTCGTTGTCTTCTGTAAACACAAAACAGTCATATATTATAGCAAACCCTTCAACACAATTAAAATGCCGACAAAATGGCAAAAACAAACCGCTGAGGAATAGGTTGAGCTGACGGGAGGCGCCTAACATCACTTGAAACTGTTGTCGCCGTGAATCCAACCTCTTGTTCAGATCATCTCTAATACTGTGGATCCGTTGGATCTCTTTCCGCAATTCTCGCAACTTCTTCGTCGTCTCCGAGCGATCGCAATGTCTGTTAATAAGTGTTGCCATCGATTCGTATTCGTGTCTGTATTCGCGAACCCTCTTCGCCGTCCGTAACTCATCCCTCGCTTTGGCCAGTCTTTGACGACAATCGACAATGGATTCGCCCGTCTGTTCGTACAGTCGCTCATAGTTTGCCATCTCTTTGGCTGCCATACGAAGAGTTTGGGCCGACTTTGACATCGAGAGCTCGCACTCACACAACGCCTGCAAAATGCGCTCAAAATGCACGACACTGTCAGACAAAATGAGACACGAGTTTAAATTCATTCCCGTTTAAGTGACAATTGTCTGATTGTCTGTCACAATAGTCTTCATCGGGAACTATTC